AGCGAAAGTCGGACGCTTAACCGACTAAGCCACCCAGGCGCCCCATGTTTTGAAATATATATATATATATATATATATACACATACTATATATATTTCTATATAGATATATAGAAATGAACATGACAAACCAATTAACGTACCCATCACTTCACGTAGTTACTGTGTGTGTGTGTGTGTGTGTGTGTATGTGATAACACTCAAGGTCTACTCTCTTAGCAAATTTCAAGTGTACATTATTATTAACTGTAGTCACCATGCTGTACATTGGGTCTCCAGAACGTATTCATCTTGCATAAAGGCAACTTTGTACCCTTTGACCAGTATCTCCCCCCTGTGCCCAGCCCTGCCCCTGGCAACCACCGTTCTACTCTCTGCTTCTGTGAGGAAGTATAGAATTTTCTATTTGGTATCTCACAATCCAGTATTTTTGTTTATATGGTGATCTTGTTATATTATTTAGTTTCATGACTAAAGTACAAAACAGTTATGATAATGATAATAATTTATCAAGCTTTAGGTAATGGTCAAGGTACTAAGCACTTTGCATGCATCATCTTATTTAAAGCTCTCAACACTACTTAATGTAGGTTCCTCTGTCACATTTTACAAATAAGAAAATAGAGACTCAGAGGTGTGTATCTTGCTCTGTAACTGGCTTATAAATTCTTAGAGACAGCTAGTTTTTAAAAAGTTACAATATAGCTTTTTAGGAGTAGAGAAGGAGTTTTGAGACCATCAAAAAAGAATTCAAATTTTGTCCCCTTCATTTACAAGTTACTTGAGCTTGGTCAAGTTAATAAAACTCTCTGAATCTTAGTTTTGTTATCTGTAAAAGTATAAAGAATAATGCCTTTTCTCACATAACTGTTGCAAAAATTACATGAAATAAAAAAATTATATGAAAAATCATATGCAATCTATTTAACATGTTCTGGGATGTTAAATATGTGCTCAATAACTGGTAATGTTGCCTATGAACCTTATGCAGTGTCACGGATGTTAAGATGCCATTAATTGCCCCAAAGTAATAGTACTAAAAATAAATAATAATAAAATAATGCAAAGGTACATTGTTGGATAGTACTCAATATCTTTTGTCTGGGTAAAGGCAGGTCATAAAGGAAATACGACTATATATTAATGAAATATCTGGAATTGCACTGTGTAGCCAATATGAATAGTCAAGATCTTGTATTTCATCACCAATCTTTCTCTTCTTCTAGATAAATAGATTGGTAGCCCTTGAAATACATTGCATTTTTTAAAAATATCAATTATTGTTTGTTTCACGTGGCTTTGCAGAAATGAGTAATGCTGATTTCAACTTTGGTGAAAATCAGAAAGCTGTGGATGTATGCAATGTGAGCTTTTAGTAGGAGTTATTTTAAAATAGTTCACCTTGCTATTGCCCTGCACTGAAGGTCAATGAATACTCAAAAGTAACTTAGAATAAGCAGAAATGCTACATTTCCATCTGGTTCTTTTTCCTGGTTTTTACTAGCACAACAGCCACAACCATTAAGTTCTTCTTTTCCTTTCAGAGAAGAGAGATGATGACAAGAAAGTGGTCGCAGAGATCATGGCAAGATGTTTTGTTCCAACATTAATAACAACCACCTCCTGGGAGGGGTTTCGTTTTGTCGGTCATGAGATTCGAATCACTGAAGCCGTGGAGTCTTACGGTGCTGTTGTTTGGCCATCGGTATCATTTCACTTAGAATTTGCTACATTTCAAGGATTTTTCAGCCAGTTTTGTTCATTCCTGTGTACTATTTGGAAGGAGAAAAAAAATAGGTTCCATAGTTCTAGTTTATGACCTCAAACAACACTAAAGCTTGGGAAAATGCTTCCACCAATCAATTCTATTTTTGACTTGAAGGGTTGATTGACAACGAGTGCAGTTTACACCATCAGTGTTTTGTGACCATTGGAGTTTAGAAGAGCAAACATTTTTATTTCCCATTAAACTGGCTCAATTTGAGTTAAATAGTCATAATGAAATCTTAGTCTCAACATTCAGAATGTCCTAAAAGGTCACCAATCCTTTACCAATTGTCCATGAAGGGGGCAGACACTGCCTACCAGTGTCTGCCCCAATCCCACACACTTCTTTGAAATGGCTATTATTATTAGAAATTGCTTTCTTTGTTTTACTTTATTGTTTTAAAATGTTTATTTATTTTTGAGAGAGCACGAATTGGGGAGGAGCAGAGAGAGAGAAATCCAAGCAGACTCCACACTGTCAGCACAGAGCATGACACGGGGCTTGAACCCACGAACCATGAGATAAAGACCTGAGCAGAAGGTGGTCATTCAACCAACTGAACCACCCAGGTGTCCCAGAAGTTGCAGTCTTTGAAGATAAACAGGGGCACCTGAGTGGCTCAGTTGGGTGAGTTGACAGCTCAGCCTGGAGCCTGCTTCAGATTCTGTGTCTCCCTCTCTCCTCTGCCCTCCCTCCCACCCCGGCTTCTTCTCTCTCTCAAAAATAAAAAAAATAAACATTAAAAAAATTTTAAAGATAATCAAACCTACACAAGTGTGTTCCATAGTTCCACTTCCCTTATCTCCCCAACAGTCCCCGAGGACTTTTTCTAGTCTAAATGTTGAACCCGTTGGAGGATGTACCCCTGTTGTGATGTGTACATACATCCATACATGCTCACACGTGTACACACATGTCATAGCATCAGTGTATATGGTGTGTTTATCTACTAGACTTTAATTTTAGTTTCTGTTATTACTTGCTGAACACTACTTTTTTTTTTTTTTTTTTTTTAACTTTCATAGGCCCTTGTTCTATGCTATTTTCTGGAAACAAATGTAAAGCACTATAATATGGTTGACAAAAATGTGATTGAAATTGGAGCTGGAACAGGGCTAGTCTCCATCGTGGCCAGTTTACTTGGTAAGTAGGCAGTCTTGACTGAATGGGGTCAGAGAATTTCATGATCAGATGCCATTAGTTACTTTCACTCTCTAGTTTACCATGACCTAAGTTAATTTCTAACTCCTTAGTTGTTTGAATGGGCTTCATCAAGAAACACCGCCAATTTTATTTATTTATTCATTTATTTATTTGTTTGCTTGTTTTGAGAGAGAGAGAGAGAGACAAAGACAGCAAATGGGGGAGGGGCAGAGAGAGAGGGAGAAAGAGAGACAATCCCAGGCAGGCTCTACACCATCAGCACAGAGTCCAATGTGGGGCTCAACCTCATGAAACCATGAGAGCATGACCTGAACTGAAATCAAGAGCCAGACTCTCAAGTGACTGAGTCATCCAGGCGTCCTGAAACACTGCCAGTTTGAAAGTCACCTTACTGGTTTCTTTCAGAATTTTCTGTGAAGTTCTATTAATTCTGCTCATGCAGCACCAAGTAATGAGTGCATTGTAACTGGAAGCTGTGTTCAGGCCTCCTGGCTGCTTGGGGAAGCCTGTGGGATACAAGGCAGAGGAAGTAGGTGCTGCTGGCTCTGACGGTCTTTATTTAAATGGCAGCCCTATTTCAACATTCCCGAGCAGCTGGATATCCATTTTGGGTTTTGGAGTCCTGTGCCTTCGTGAAAAAGCACCTATTGGAAGAGAGAAGGAGTATTATCAATCACATCTGCTTCTAATTTTAGGCATTTGTCCTTGAATTTCTTTTCCCAGCTCATCTCTGTTGTTCTTCTGGGACTCCTTCTCTTACCAGAATTCCTGTGTCTCACGGAATGTGTCTACATAAGCCTGAGCCCGCTTCACTTTGTGTCTTGTTGTTACCTGTTGCATTGCCTCTATTTTGCTGCCTTCTCTAATGTGTGCTCCCCAAGTCTGTCTTAATTTCCTTGATCCTTAGGAGTGCACACCTGCCACTCTATGATCTTGAGAGGAATTCAAGATTTAGCAGTTTACAATTTTCTAAACACTGGAGAAATATAGAACCCTTGAAGTCTCCCCCAAATATATATATATATATATATATTTTTTTTTTAATTGCTTCTTCAGATACTGCTTTCTGAAGCCACCATTCCATTTGGTTTGGGTAGTCAGAGGCGCTACTGGATTTATACCCAAAGGGTTCCTGATCACGAGCACATTTATGCTTTGGAAAGTCATTTTTTCCATTAAAAAGAATTGGCCCTTTTAAGCTGCTTGTATAACTTGACACAAATAACAGAAGATGGAAATTTTGTTCAGTCAGTGTTTTAAGGCTGGTGGCACTTAGCTCTCTCAACACAAAGATCTTTCTAGTCAGGTAGTTTGTGTTCACTCTGGGAAGGGTGGTGGGGAGGGTCTTCCCGGTCTTGGGATTTTAAAAAGATTTGTTGAAAATGCTAGAGCTACCCACACTAGAGTGTGACAGTTCATGTTTCTATGATTCTATGATACACATGTTTCCCTCCCACTTCAATATTTCCCACAAAACATAATCAATGGCCAGAGAAACTGTCACCATGAAGAAGGAGGGCTTCTTAACTCGTCTGGGCTGTGCTAGACTTCTCTCCCAGTTCTGCCTTTTTATTTCTTACACTAGTCTGTTCTTGTCTGATGATGTGGGATTGGCCAGCACCTAGATTTATCTACATGTTATTTTCAGCCTCTATGACTGCTAAGAGTTTACTTTAAGGGCCAAATTTTGTTCGTTATTGCTTTTTACAATTTTGCCTCTTCCAAATTCTTCCTAAAAATGACCACTGCTATTCACTTTTAACTCAGAGGCTGTTCACATCTTCTTCATCTGGGTATCCCATCCTGCATCCATGGCCTTTGGCTGTAGGAACACTATGTCCATGTTGTGGCCAGGTTTTCAACGTCTTTTGATGGGAAGATTCATATTTGTAATGGGGTCAAACATGGGTGGGCATAAACATGGATGTGATGACACTTCCAGTGTAATTCCATTAAAATTTCTTTCCACACCCGAGTGCCTCCTGTTTAGTGATAGAAAGCCCCACGGAATATACCCTCGTTTCGGTTCACATGACGTGGGCTCAGCATTCTTTTAGTGGAGGACCTATGCATCTTTCAGCAGTGACTTCTGATTATACCATTGAAGGTTCCAAATATTGTGACTTTTCTCTTTTTCTTGATTATTTTTCTCCTAGCATGTAGTAGATAAATAGAAAATAACAACAGAAATAATAATAAAACAAAAACCCCAGGAGAACATGCAATGGAGTACAAAAGTACCGTGGGAATCTAAATTTTTTTTTTTTTTAGGGGGAGGTATAAGGCTGCTTTAGCATCTGTTCTGAAGACATTTTCTGTGTGTACCGACCAGTCTTCTCCATGGGGTTAGCGATCATGCAGAATTGTAAATGCCTGTTGGATTGAAACCTGATTGCTTTACCTTCTCCCTCGAGGGTTAATTTTCCTACTGTCCTTTGTTCCATAGGTGCACACGTGACTGCCACAGACGTACCTGACCTACTAGGAAACCTGCGATATAATATTTCCCGAAACACCAAAATGAAATGTAAGCATTTGCCTCAGGTTAAAGAACTCTCCTGGGGTGTAGCTTTAGATGAGAACTTCCCCCGATCTTCCAACAATTTTGACTACATCCTGGCAGCTGACGTTGTCTACGCCCACCCTTTCCTGGAAGAACTCCTCATTACCTTCGACCATCTGTGCAAAGAAACTACTGTCATCCTCTGGGTCATGAAATTCAGGTTGGAGAAAGAAAATAAATTTGTAGATAGATTTAAGGAGTTGTTTGACCTGGAGGAGATTTCCAGTTTCCCCAGCCTGAATATTAAGTTGTATAAGGCTGTGAAGAAAGGCCGAAAGGCCGGAGGAGTGCAGGGAAAGGAAAGGTAGTTTCCAGAAGAGTGTTCCTTTAAAGAAGACCCTGGACGATCTGATGCAGCAATGACTTTCCCAAGTCACTTGCCTCATAAAACTTGCCTCACCCCTGGCAGGAATTTTCCCAGATATAGCACCTGAGTCTAGGGGACGGCTAAGCCATACTGTGTGGTCACTGGTTAAGACACTGGTTAAGAGAGTAGATGAGGTCTACTCTCCTAATCCCTCAATAGCGCCACTTATTATTATTATCATTTTAATAAATAGTACTATTGTTTTTAATGTATAACTGTAGGATAATTTTTAATGTCTCTAAACTGAACATTGTTATTGCTTTAGACATAAGCTTATCTGATTCTCTCTTTAGCAACAAAAAAATGGATTATAATGAGACCAGCAAGTAAATCTGAAAAGGCAGACACCTAATATAATGGTCCCTGTGAGGTTATATATTGTGGCTTTCACAAGTGCCAGCTTACAGGTGGTCTCTGGTCTCTGCTGGCAGGCTGGGCCCTGAGCGCAGCCTCTGAAATCAGTCACCCATGTGGAGTTGAGGTTATGGGCAAGGACATTTCACTCCAGAAAATGAAAAATGACTGGAAGCAAACATAGACACAGTTGCGATTTTGGAGAAGTTACTGTTTTATTTTTAATGCAAGTTATGTTGCATCACAGAAGGAGAAACAAAGACAAAAACTTTAGGTTGAAAATACACATGAAAAGATTTAGGCCCCTAATCTCAAATCATCAGACATAGGGCTGGTTTCAAAGTTTGGAGCTTTTCTGATGCACATCTGTGGACCTGGGTACCTGAAGTCCTACGTGGTTTTCTTCACATGGACCTTAGAGACTAGAACAAAGACTGATGTAAAGTCAGGGCCAGGGGGGCACAGAAGGAGGATTCTGCACCCGTGGGTCAGGCTCCGTTGGTTGGTAGTTCACTCTTGTGATGTTCCTCAGGCTGTCACAGCGCCGTCATGGTGGCACTTCTCCTAAGCCCAGCTCTGTGCTTTGCTGGAGGTTGTCAACCACTCAGGGTCCAGCAGAGCTGACAGGATGGCTCCCTAGGGTCCTGGTGTGTCAGAAGGGAGCCGATGTACCCCCAGTGGGTTTTTGGTTGTGCGGCCCACTGGGCCGTCTCCCTGTGACTCCCAACATTCATGTGCTCTTTTCCACTTTTCACAGCCGGTTAAAAGTAAAGTCATGTGATCCTCACCGTCTTTCTAGGAAGTCTAGGGACTGTCATTATCCCGGCTTCACAGCCTTGCTGGGGCTCAGAGGGTGGTCACCCGCCCCAGGGCCCAGCTTATCTGAGAAGATGGCCTGTGTTAAGTTTATTTATTTATTTTGAGAGAGAAAGAGAGAGCAAGAGAGAGAGAGCAAGAGTGCACAGATGTGCACATGAACAGGGGAGGGGCAGAGACAGGGAGAGAGAGAATCCCAAGCAGGCTCTATACTGTCAGCACCAAGCCCAACGGGATCGATCTCACAAGCTGCGAGATCATGACCTGAGCTGAAATCAAGAGTCTGGACACTTAGCCGACTGAATCACCCAGGTGCCCCCTAGGGCCTGTGTTCTTTACAACTGCCCTGCTTCTATGTACTTAAAGCAGCAGTTTTCAAGCTCCTTTGTAGATGAGTGAAGTCATCTCTTCAAAATGGGATCAGTACCCAGAAAGGCAAGCAAATGCATTAGGAGAATGGGACCTGCTCTTCCTTATATTTCCCCTCCTGTTTCTAAGGGCGGTCCATGCAGCTGCATTTGGAAGGTGACATGTAAGCAAAGCAGCAAGGAGGTGAGGGAGGAAGCCGGGCATACACCCAGGGGAGCGTGTTCTCCGCCGAAGGGCAGCGGGGTGAGGACCTTAAGACGGGAGCGGGAGCGTGCTGGTCCTTGAGCAGAAGCAGCACAAGGCTTTGGAGCGCGGCGAGCAGGGACGCTGGCTACTCAGAGGTCAGAGGGCGGAGGCGGCCGGGTCACGTCCGACCTTCGCTGCAGTCTGACTTCTTCCGAGGCAGACTGAGGGGGATCTAGTTGGCCCGTGCTGGGTCAGGGGGTGCTTGTTGGGATCTAGATGTGTGCAAAGGGGCGGGGCAGAAGCGGAGGTCGAGCTGCCTGCAGGCCCAGCCCCATGGATGGGCCCTGATCTGAGAGTGGCCTGGACGTCCCCACGTCGCGCAGGCACTGGAGGTGCGCCGCCCCGGGAGGGATCTGCGACCCTGCATGAGGAGCCTTCCGAGCACCCCCAGGATGTGACAGGTGAGCGCCGCCTCCCAGCAGCGCTGCCGGCAGCCAGGTGCGAAGGTCTCCGAAGGGGACGCGGGGGCGCATCGCCGTGCGCACCGCTGCGTCTCGGGCCGCGGACAGAACTTGGGCTTTTCCTCCAGTGAAGCCGGGAATCCACGGAGGACTCGAGCCACTCCCGGTGAGGACCACACTGGCTGCCGTTTCGAGAAGCGGCCAAGGGACTGGTTAGCAGGTCGTGGCAGCCGTCCAGGTAAGGAGGCGGGCAGAGCCACCCGCAGGGACGAGCCCTCCAGGTGGGGAGAAGTGGTCCTTTATAGATGCCTCTGGAAGCCAGAGCCAGCAGAGCTTCCCGCCAGAGCCAGGAGTCAGAGGTGATTCTAAAGTGTTTGATCCCAGCTATTGGACGCCAGGTCAGAGTGGCCAGCTTACAGATGGTTTGTAAAGCTCATTCGTGGAGCAGGAGGGAGACAGACCAGACAAGGAGGGAGCCCCGGGGCTGGCCAACATTAAGAGCAAACGTAGGTGTGTTGGGGATTTTTTTGAGGTTGTGCCCCTCACCCACAAGGTTGTTAGTATCTGTTGACTCTTGTAACCACCCAGCTTCAAACATATCAGTCGAGTTCTGATTCCTCACAGGTGACTCGGAGCTTCTGGGACTGTTTTCGGTGTGGTGGCCACCATGGCCCCTCTGCTGAATGTTTGACCATCACTACTAAGCTATTTTTGGGTAGAATAGATAAAAGTGTGCTTCTTTTCAAAGACCGTGTGAGGACCAGGCCATATGGTTCCGCTCTTCCTAAGTGTCAATCTGTCAAATGCAACATTGTATACCCATTGTTTTATTCTGTTTATAGCGTTCAACTAGCAAATTCTAACACCCACCCACACACACTGTGTGCACGTCTGCTTTTATCTTTCTGCTTTAGGTTCTCACACTTGTCTAGATTCAATTTCATAATGATTTAATTTCAAAAGATGTTGACTGACGAAGACTTTTCCATCTTACAAGTTTATCTTATAGCTAGGAGTTGATTTGTTAACTTTAGTCCAAGTGAGTTTACTATGAATTTTGCCTTTACTCCGCTTTGTGTGTGTGTGTGTGTGTGTGTTCTTTTTTTGACAAGTTAAACTATGCTACTGAAAACCTAGTCCAATTCTTGCGGTAACTTTCCAGATTTCTAACACAACAAACACACTGTCAAGGTTTTAATAGAGCGTTATCACAGAATAGTTGTTACTTCACAGCAGACATACCAACTTGCTAATGATTCTCTGAAGCTTAAAATTTATGGGGGCCCTGGGGGGCTCATTTGGTTGAGTGTCTGAATTCAGCTCAGGTCATGATCTCGCAGTTCATGAGTTCAAGTCCCGAGTCGGGCTCTGTGCTGACAGCTCAGAGCCTGAAGCCTGCTTCAGATTCTGTGTCTCCCTCTCTCTCTGCCCCTCCCCACCTCATGCTCTGTCTCTCTCTCAAAAATAAATAAACACACAGGTACACACAGGTAAACACAAAAAGTTGCTGTGCCCCAGCCAGTATCATTTGACTTTAGGAAACTACATACTATATGAAAATCTCCTATTCTAGAATTTACTAATATATCCTATTTCATCTGTGCCAATTTTTGTCAACCAGAATTTTTAAAAATTTTGTTTTTATTCCATATTTATATTCCTTTTTTTGACAAAGAATTGTGGCGTTGGGTAACTTCCTAAAAGATTTGGAGTCCGTGGTATAAATTCATTATTGTGGAAGAAATGAGAAAGGAAATGTAACAGAATGTTCCTTTATTTCTTTATTTTTTTTGAATCCTTGGGTTCCAGGAGCATAATGTTCTCTGTAAGTATCTGGTCTTTATGGACAGAGACTGTTTCCAACTTGTTGTAAAGAGTACCATTGGTATATGGGCAGATAAATAATTTCTGAAGATCCTTTGGAAGTAAAATGTCCACTGAGTAGGCTTTTCATACAAGAAAAGATTTACATGTTCTAACTTTGAAAGCAAAGTGGGAACCTTGGGTTTTAGAAACAAAAGATTTGGAAAAACTTTTTAAATGTTTATTTTTGAGAGAGAGAGAGAGAGAGAGCACAAGAGAGCACGCAAGCAGGGGAAGGGTAGAGAGAGAGGGAGACACAGAATCTGAAGCAGGCTCCAGGCTTGACCTCATGAACCACGCGATCATGTCCTGAGCTGAAGCTGGTCGCATAACCAACTGAGCCACCCAGGTGCCCTAAAAAGAAAAGATTTAAAGTCAACCTTAAGTAGATCAGATAAGTTTATTGATACACTTAGAAGAAAATTAATATCCTGTGCCTCCTCTTTTGACTCCATACTAACTTAGTGTTCAGTGCATATGGACAAAAATAATTGTCAAATAATGTGCATTTTTTTCTCCATCAAATTATAAGGCAATAATAAGAAACAAAATCAGTCCTGGAACAGATATATAATTTCACAAAGTGTAGGGGGTTACAGGCAAAGCCAAATTTAAAACCAATAGACGTTTGTGAGTGTCTATGTGGATCTATTTCTTTAGGTCTTCTTTCTGGAGCCTGGAAATTGTTCACAAATGGTTTCCACATCCAGGTTTTGGTATTTTTGAGTTTGTGATGTAAATCCAGAATATTTACCAGTTTCAATGTCTGCTCTGCTTCCAGGCTCTGGACAAAGTGGAAGTCACTGCTCTGTATTCTTACGGGGCCGTATTAATGGGGTGAAAGTGGCCTTCATTAGCACCAGTGAGTGGTGTCACCCTATGAGTTCCTTTATGAAGAGTTCCCGGGCTGGACACTGGTGTGTCCTCAGACTGTGTGCAGCTGTGTAGGGTTTAGACTGCTGGGCACACATACCCCACCCCTGTCCGGTCCTCCCAGACGACCTTTGGCCTCGGTCATGAGCTGTGCTCTCATCGGGACAGCTAACCGGGCTCTGCTCTCCTAGTTTCCTTGTTTCCAAGGCAGTTGTCTTGCTGTGAAATCCAATC